GGGCAGCATTGTGTGCATTGCCTTATAAAGGCTAATATAAAATGAATTTTTGGAAGCTTGTAAAAAGACAAATTAATTTCTAGATAAATACACATGAAGTGTCCTATTAAAAAAAACTAAACAATGGTCGATATTTCACAAATAGAAATATTAAGAAAAAAACTAAGACACTGGATTCCACATAAAGTATTGTCAAGGTGTATTACTGGTTGCATAACTGCATACTGCTAAATAATCGCAACGTGCATTGATGAACCTGGCGCATTCGCCTGAAAGTAAAAGAAAATTATAGAATTCTTTAGAAAATTCCAGAAACCATCGCCAGGGGGTATATAAGGCCCGCGCTTTGACAGTTGGACAAGTCTGAAGATAGTCTGAAGTCTGAAGTTTGAAAATACCGCGAAATACCGTTAGAGTAATAGTAGTTGCATAAGTTGTGTTGTAAATAGTATAAGTTGAGTGTACAGAGTGAAACAAATAAATTCGTTAAGTATTTTATCGTGAGTTTAAATAGTGGACCCACGGAATCCGTAACAGTATAAAGCTAAGCATATACAGGAGCGGAGAGCAGAAGAGCGAAAACAGACACACAAGCTCCTTACTACAGCTCATACCAATTAATCTCGTGTGTTTCTTTTCCCCGTTTTGATTTCCGCTAGAGTATGTGCTTACCAGAAGAAATAATTCAATTTCTTGTCAGAAAACTGAGATATGAAGGGTAGAAAAAAACTGCATTTTTAGTAACATCCTGTAGCAGGAAAACAAAGTAGGCCGCGAGAATTTTGTTGGGCACATTAAATTTTACAAAGTAGTAGTAAGGATCGTGAAAACCGCAAGGTTCTCCATCTTTATTAATAAAGCGAAAAATTCCACATTTGCTACCAAAATGGGACACTCTGTATAGTGTTAGCTTTTATTTCATTTCGCTTTTAAAAAGGTTTAACTTTATTTTTTGGCCTAAAAAAAGAAAATATTTTTTTTACTCCAGTGTTTATACCACTGCTAATTATAAAGCCTGTTAAATATTGGCCAAAGTAAATTGCTAACCTGTACAGGGTGTACCATTTTCATTATGCTTTAGGGAGTTTCTAGCTTATGAACGCAGATAGAGAAAAAGTTGAGATTTTCGCAATAGTTGGCTTCTTATTGATGAAATTACAGATATGAGGAAGAAGACTGTGATAAATGTATTATCCCAGCACTCTTAGTTTCTAAGCTACAGAATCATTTTTAAAAAAATATCAATTAAATTTTTGTAAATATTTAAAAAGTTATAAGCAAAAGCGATTTTTTATAAAAAAATTCTTTCAGATGAAATTATGTTTTTCAGTTATCAACGGAAGGTGTATTTTATATATTTTATGTATAGGTTGTCAATCAAAATAAGGTAATTGCACACAATTTACCTCTATAAAAAAGTGCTTCGTTTGTCCATTAGAGATCATCAGAATTTAAAAATATGAACATATTTTTTTAAGATAAAAACATTTACAAGGAGCGGAGAGCAGAAGAGCGAAAACAGACACACAAGCTCCTTACTACAGCTCATACCAATTAATCTCGTGTGTTTCTTCTCCCCGTTTTGATTTCCGCTAAAGTATGTGCTTACCAGAAGAAATAATTCAACTTCTTGTCAGAAAACTGAGATATGAAGGGTAGAAAAAAACTGCATTTTTAGTAATATCCTGTAGCAGGAAAACAAAGTAGGCCGCGAGAATTTTGTTTGGCACATTAAATTTTACAAAGAAGTAGTAAGGATCGTGAAAACCGCAAGGTTCTCCATCTTTATTAATAAAACGAAAAATCCCACATTTGCTACCAAAATGGGACACTGTATAGTGTTAGCTTTTATTTCATTTCACTTTTAAAAAGGTTTAACTTTATTTTTTGGCCTAAAAAAAGAAAATATTTTTTTTAGTCCAGTGTTTATACCACTGCTAATTATGCCTGTTAAATATTGGCCTGTTAAATATTGGCCAAAGTAAATTGCTAACCTGTACAGGGTGTACCATTTTCATTATGCTTTAGGGAGTTTCTAGCTTATGAACGCAGATAGAAAAAAAGTTGAGATTTTCGCAATAATTGGCTTCTTATTGATGAAATTACAGATATGAGGAAGAGGACTGTGATAAATGTATTATCCCAGCCCTCTTAGTTGCTAAGCTACAGAATCATTTTTTAAAAAATAGCAATTAATTTTTTGTAAATATTTAAAAAGTTATAAGCAAAAGCGAATTTTTATAAAAAAATTCTTTCAAATGAAATTATGTTCTTCAGTTATCAACGGAAGGTGTATTTTATATATTTTATGTATAGGTTGTCAATCAAAATAAGGTAACTGCACACAATTTACCTCTATAAAAAAGTGATTCGTTTGCCCATTAGAGATCATCAGAATTTAAAAATATGAACATATTTTTTTACAATAAGTTTTTATATCTGAATACAAGTGACGGTTAAAAGCATTTATCAAAATCATCCTGTTGCTCAAAAACTATGAAGGTTATAACATGTGATTTAAAAAAAAGTAAAAAAACTACGTCAAAGGCGTTTGGGGAATGACAATCGATGATAATTTTGGCGAGGTCAATCTCTAGACGTCATTTAGTAAAATTTTACATAAAACTTCAATATTAACACTAATTATAGAAAGAATAAAAAAGGATAGAACCGGTTCTAGACACACAAATCTATTTCCAAAAATATTTTTTTTCCTGTAATTTTAAACTACGCCATTTAAAAATCGTTTTTACTCAATATAAAAATAAATTACAAACTTCTTAACTAGCAGTAGAGTAGGCTTGAGTTCGCAAAAATTGGCATCGTCATTCCCCAGCCGTTCATGACGCCGTTTTTCTACACCGTAGGGTATTTTATAAAAAATTAGTAGCCACTGCGAAAACTGCTACTTCCTATCTCCGTTCATAAGGGAGAAACACTATAAAACATGAGACACCCATTTTAAACGGTTTCGTCATTTCCATATTTAGTTGCAATTAAGGGCTTTCTCGCTTATTAGTAAAGAATACTAAATGTCGAACTCGTTACTTAAATGAATCCATTATTTTTTTTGAAAGCAAAGATACAGTACACAAAATTGTCATGAAACCAGAGGTATAAGAATAAGTTTTTTCTTAATATTTTCATCACACACCCTGTATACTTGTCAAAAAATAATCTTCGTCCTTCACAAGCTTTCAAAATATATGTAACAGTATATTTTAGTTAAAAGCTGCAAAATTAATAATTTTAAAATAATACAAATAAAAATTTACATAGGACCATGCCAAAACAATGCTGCTATTATCTTTTAATTGGCGAAACCAAATTTGATCTATTTAATTTTTAAATGAGAAGTTTAAACAATAAAGAACTAAAAATACAAATACTAAGAACAATGACATAGGATATAACAAAATTTGTATTAAACTGTTTTACCTCTAATTAAAAACTGTGACTTATGGTGGCTTGTGAGAAGATACATTAATTTTCTGACAAATATACGGGCTCTCCCATTAAGAGAAACTAAACATTGGTCGATATTTAAAAAGAACTATTTAAAGAAATTAAAAAAGAAGTTCCATAACAATATGTTTTAAAATTTATTGATAAGTTGTCAGACTACTGAAATAGGAGATGTATCTGAAACTGTAACATTTTCAAAATCACCCTGTATCATAGGGGACTGTGGCAATTTTATTTTTCATAAAAATCAAGTTTATAAAAATCGCAATGACCTATCCTTACTAATGAGCGAGATGGACAGTCTGTACAACATTATTGATTGATAAACTTTTCATAGCAAGCGCCAATACTTTCAATAAAGCACACAAAGTGACAAATACATTTGGAACATTTTAACAATGGAAGTTTTTATAGGGTTTGTTGTTTATTTTCCATTTAAACTAATATAAAATTAAAAATTGCATAAATTCTTATAAATCGCTCATCGCATGAATTAAAATTATACAAAAAAAATTGAAGTGAATAGTTAATAAATAAATAAATAAATAAATAACATGGTAAACTTCTAGTTAACTGAAATTTTAAGTGGCTTTAATATGGTGCTCTAATATTACCGGCATGTTTTGTAATAAAAAGATTGAAGTGAAAATCTCAAATAGAACACCTAGTTTATTTAACACTGAGCCACCCTGTAGTAATTTAAACGATTTTTTTTAATTGAAATTTAAAAGCAATACTTACTTAGAAAGCAATAAACAAATATATTAATTATTCTACAAATTTTAACTTTTAAGGTGTTTGAATGAGTAAGAATCGATTAGGCAACCAGTTATACTAAAATTTAAAGAAATTGAGATAACTATTTTCAGATGATTTTTCTATGTAAAATGAGCTTTATATAATTAATTTACGCAATTTTCTATTGGAGTACAGTGGTGGATTAATCATTACACAATTAAAATCTTAATCCCATCACTGACTAAATATTTAAAGATTCCAAAACTACAGTTTACAGCCTTAAAATTAGTTCAGATAATTGATAAGTGCTAATTAAATAAATTATTCCAGAAAAAGCTTGCCAGATGCATACAAAACAACAGTATCAACTCATAAGAATGTTATTTAATGTAATCTAGTAATTTGAAGTAGTAATAATTTAAGCATAATTTTTTTAATATATTCTATTTTCAAATATCTGGATATATTTAATTTCTAAATATTAACAATGCCACAATTTTGTTATTTATAAAGTATATTATTATAAAATTAAGAGTGTTTTATTTAAATAGCAGAGAAAGACATTATATTATATTTAGTTACCAACATATAAAGTATTTTAGTATAATTTGTTTTGATCTTGTTATATAAAATACTAGTTGAATCCTGGCGCATCCGCCATCAGAAAAAAAATTATAATTTAATTATCTTTTTATAATTAAATGAAAAACAAAAAATCCGGCGACGACAGTTTTTAGAAGAGCCAATTAGCTATCTTTTAGTAAAAAAAGCAACTTTCTAGAGCAAGTCGTTACTTCAGTAGAGACGACACAGATAAACATTAGCATTTTATATATGTAGATTTTCAATTAAAAAAAATACGACTTTATAAATTTGTGAAAGCTTTAAAAATGTACAGGAAAAATCTAAAATAACAATAGAATTAAAATTTGAATAACATTGCATTTAAATACTACCAATATAAAGCAAAAATATATTAAAAACACCCTGTGTATTTCTACGAACTGACTTTAAAATATGATCTACTGTAACCCGTATGTTTTATAAAAAAAATTTAGTGAAAATTTCAAAGTGAAGACCTAACATGATTATTTTTGTAACATTGGGCCACTCTGGTAATATAAATTATTCTTTTTTACCTACTAAAAAAACACTCTTAATTAGCTGATTAATTATTAGACACGACAAAAAAATATTTAAAATGAAAAAAGAAATGACTGTAAACATAGTGCTCGGAACCTCTAAAACGCTTACAAAATATAGATGTATTCAAAGCAATTTTATAACAAAAATACAGCAATAGATCACAATAATATTATATAGAAAACAGATAACATTTGTACAGAAATAGTACAACATTATCGAATAAAAATGGCGTCGGCGATGGCTATGAAATGAAGATCGCTGTAATTTTATATATAAAATTATATGGCAAATGTAATTGATGTTCATTTCCAAGCCAACTGGACGCCGTTTTTTTTTTCGATCATACGGTATATTGTTTTATTAGGAGTAAAAATGATACTTTTTGCGGCGAGACTGTACGTTCGACAGTACAGGCGAGACACTAAGTCATTTTTACTCCGAATAGAACATGTTCTTTTTTCAAACGTTGCAAAAATATAAAAATATTTAAAAGTAATATGTTGTAAGTAATTATATATCGAGAAACTATGGTTACGCTTGTTAAATTTGTCAGTTTAATAATAATTTTAGCACTTTTGTGTTTAAGCCTTTGTTTAAGCGCACAAGCGTAAAAATTACTTTTTTATATGTCAATCTTTGTTGTCATGTCGCAAAAATTAAGAGTTTTGTGACGTTTGAAAAAAAAGATATTGTATTGAAATACTTTAATGATATCTCTTTGATAATAATAGGGATCTTCAAATTTATTTTGCTTAATAAATGTTATAAAGTAATATTCATTTTCAACAAAAAATATTTAGAAATATTTCCTATTACAGATAGCAAAGGTAAGCTATAGATCACTATTATTAACAAAATATTAAAAACAATATTTATAAAATTCTAATACACCAAATAACATACAAAACTGGTATTAAAATATATCTTTTTGGGACATTTAAGTGGAATGAATTCTATGCCAAAAGATTTTAAATGTTGAAGGACCAACTGAAAAACGATATGCCACATATAAAACTAGAATTATTATTTTTGTGTAAAAATGTGTTTTATCTTAAAATTATATATTTAACAAATATGTATATACAAGTGTTAATTTTTATATCATGGCTTATGATATTTCAATTGATCCTACAATAAATATATTATATACCCTAGCAGACCATTTTCATATGTAAAATTCATAAATTTTAAGAGATAAAGTTTGTTTCATATTTTATAAAAAAATTATATAGCAGTAATTAATTATCTTAAACGCAAGTGTAACGATTTTATTAACACATAGCAAACATCAGTTTGTATTTTTCAGAGACATTTTAAATACTAAAATTGAGAGAAAAAATTACTACTGGAAATAAGATTTTTTTAAATAATAAGAACATTACCACAACATTACATAAGAATCGATTAGGCAACCAGTAATACTAAAGGTTAAAATTCATGTATTTATTTTCAATTGAACTCTTCTAAAACAACTAATTTATGCAATTTTGATTGGATTACTTTTATTGCATTAAAAAAAACAATTTTAGTATAAATATACTTGAATCGCACAGTATATCTACGAATATGCTCACACAATATATTTGTTAAATAAATTAAAATGAAAATATTAAAAAGAAAAATATTTTTATAAGAAATGTATTTTTTATGAAAATATTCAAAAAAAAGCTTTTGCTCTTGTAAAGACGTTCTGAGGACATACTGTATATAAAGAGAATTCTGCACATAAAAAAGAAAACAATGCATGAAGTGCATTGCTCTGTGTTAAAGAAACAAACTTTATCGCTAAAATTTAAATACAAAATAGATATAAACATATTTTAAAATCATATAAATTGATTAAAAACATCTGTGTTAGGGTACCAAAAATAATTCTCAAAAGCAAAAAAAAACTATATGAACACAAGTATCCAAAATTGATTTAATAAAAAAAAATATTTCAAAAAAATAAACACGAATAAATCATTTCTACTGGCTTAACATTGATATTCAATAATCACATTTAATGTTTATGAAAAAATATTAAATGACCATTAACTATTAAATTATCATCCGGTTGAAGATATAGTTAGTTAAATTCTATAAAATTTAGTTTTGCGTTAATACAATAAATGAAATATTAAAAAATATAAACTTTAAAACCAAAATAATACTTGTGTTCATAGAGCTATAGTGACGCAGCTGCGCAAGTATAAAAATTATAATTTTGATAATCTGGAATAAACTTAGAGAAGTTTAGTTATATAATTCAGAAGTTAGTTATATAATTAAATAAAAGATAAAATAAATTGGAAATGATACAACCCTATAAAGATTGTTTTTTAAATCTTTTAAAATACCTTTGACGAAATCCAGAATATAATATAGTTTTATTTAATAACAATTTAATGATTGAACTAATGGAAGTAAAATATAAGATAGGTGAGATTGAAAAAAAGCTTGAAATGAAAAATTATAACAGATTAGTATTATGTTGCTCAACATATCCTCCATAAAGATTATTGCATTGATTTGAATGATTTAAAATTAATCAAACATCCCTCAAACTAGAGACAACACAAAGCATAAATATAAAGACAATATCAACAGGGATAATGGTCTTATTCATAAAATAAAGTGTATTGCTCTTAACTAGTGTTTTACATTGCAAAAGCTTAAGAAAAAATAAAGGTTTCTATCCAGATTATCAAAATTTTACAAAAAATTAACATTAAAATGACGCCTGATGTAATTATATAGTAAGAGGATAAAAACCAATAAACAAATTTATTGAAACAATAACACTATTAATGAAGCTAACGAACCTTGGTGAGGCATTGAGGAGTATTGAGTCTGCTTTATGTCGAGTGAAAGAGGAAAGTGAGGAAGTAGGAGCAACTGTTGGGGATATCCATTGTTAAGAAAATGCAGAGATATCTAAAAAATAAAATAAAAATAATATTAAAAAAAGGAATAAAACGATATATGCAAAAATTAAAATAAATATATTTTTATTAATGCAATAACTATGTTTTTTAAATTAATAATTTGTATATACCCTAGGAGAAAAAAAACAGCATTATAGTGGCTTTTGAAATAACAATTGATGACAATTATTTCTGCCAGGTAGACCAGAATATATCATTTATAAAAAATTGGTATAAAAATTTATAACAAATTAAAGAATGAAAAAATTCAAAGTTCATATTTTTTTAAATTAAGGTTTTCACCTTTGAATAATAATCGGTATGTTTGAAACCTTTTTCCTTTTTTTTTCATTTAAATATTATTTTTGACAAGTTTTTATATCAATTTTTAATAAATGACATATAGGAATAGACGTTGACCTCAGAGACCTGTGCAGCTTGAATATTATGAAAACTTATCATAATTTTCAAGCTTGTCGATGAAATTTAGTAAGAAAAAAGAGATAAATAACTTACCATTGATAAAGGACTGCGACCACTTTTCAACAGCTATTAAGTACAGTCCTAAATGGTCTTTCTGAGTGTTTTCCTGCAAGTTTCATTCCACTTAAAGTTTTTTGATGTCCATCATAATATTTGCAGATAGTACAGCTTGTGGATTTTTAACAGCAATTGTCCCAGCATATACCTAAAATTCCAAAAAAATATTAAGTAAATTTTTACTGTACTAATTTTTGAAAACAAGATTAATAAAAAACAAAACAAAAAGATTAATCAAAATTATATTTATTAAAATATATATTTATGGCGTTTATTCTAGTGGGAACTTTATCGTCAAGGTGTGTGTGACGAGTTTTGTAATTTTAAACCAAACAGTTTTGAAATGTTGACAATTTGGCGAAGGATTTTTTTAAATAGTTAATTGTGTGTTGTAATCAGTATAAATTGTGAGAAAATAAATCCGGCAAGTATTTTATCGTGAGTTTAAATTAGCGGACCCCCGTAAACCCTAACTATATGCAACCAGTAATACAGTATCAGCATTTTATTTTATCCTGCCTATTTTTTAACTGTTATTGGCTGTTCTAATATTTGAACAAAAGAGCTTGAATATTAGAAAATTTTAGAAATTTTCAAGCTGCTCAATGAAATTTTATAAAAGATAAATAAATAACTTACCATTGATGAAGAACTGGGTCCGCTCTAGCAGCGATTAAGTAACAACAGTTCTCAAAATGGTGTTCCTTGATTTCTCCTGTACAAGTTTCATTCCATTTAAATCTCTTTGATGACCACCATAAATATTAATTGCAGCTAGTACGACTTATTAATTTCTAACAGCAATTATTGTCCTTTCGTATACCTAAATAAAAAATATATTAGGTAATTTTTTGTTATAGCAATTTTTGAAGCTATCAAAAAACAGACAATAACATAAATTACCTTAATATTTGGAACTATGTAAAAATAACAAATAAATAGTACACATTTTTTTTATATTAATTTGAGTGAGTTATAAAGAGTTATATAAAATTAAAAGAAAGACTTTTATTGATAACTTCAGAAATAATATAAAAATTGTAAATTTCCTTGATATGACAGTAATACATTATTATGACTTATTAATGCTCAAAAAATTAAATATCTAATTTACTAGATATATATCGTCCCATTGCTGCCAAAAGCTTGCTTAAAATAATATACGAAAAAAAACACATAAAAACTCGAGTTAAAACCTTCTAATTTCTTTTTTTTTTCAATGAAAATTCTAGCTTCCCAAATAAAAAAAAGTTAAAACTACCTGTTAAAATTTGGGACAAAATAAAATGCCAACACTGTACAAACTGCAGAGTACGAATATTCCGCAAAATTTAATTATTTTACAGAATTTTCAAGCTTATCAATGCCATTTCATAAAAATATATACAGGGTATTTCACAAAGGTTTTAAAATGAAATTTAGTCCAAATTAAACTAGTTATAGACTTAGAAAAATATATAGAGTAAAAAACTTTTAATGAACCAGTTGTATGAAAATCCCTGTATATAAAATGATCAAAATAACTTACCATTATTAAAAGACAACGGATGTCGAGCCCAACCCTGGTTCTATTAACTTTACATCCTGAAACGACTGACATTTTTCTGTATCCAATCAAAAATTTTCCTTCAAAGCTGCAACTTGTTCGTTGAGTTGTGACAGCAGCTGTCAAAATGTCCATTACCATCAATTTGTTCAGCTCACTAAAAGTACAAAAAAATTAAAAGATAAAAAAAAATAAATAATTAAAAAAAATATGACAGTTTGTTCATACTAGTTCATACTAAATTTATCATAATTTTCAACCTTGTCAAAGAAATTTAATAAAAAAATTAAAAAAAGAGATAAATAACTTACCATTGATGAAGGACTGCATCCACTCTAACAGCTATTATGTATACAGTCTAAAATGGTTTTCTTTATTTTTCCTGCAAGTTTCATTCCATTTAAAGCCTTTTTGATGTCTACTATAATATATTATCTGCAACTAGTACTACTTGTTAACTTCTAACAGCAATTGTACAATTGAAGAAAAATAACGCACAAGTTTCATTCCATTTAAAGCTTTTTTCTGTCAACCATAATTTTTGCAGATAGTATGGCTTGTGGATTTTTAACAGCCAATTGTCCCATCGTATACCTAAAATTCCAAAAAAAATTAGGTAAATTTTTACTATACCAATTTTTGTAGATTTCTGAAAACAAGATTAATAAAAAACAAAAATAAAAAAGATTAAACAAAATTATATTTACAAAAATATATATTTATGGCGTTTATTCTAGTGGGAACTTTAACATATCTTCAAGGTGTGTGTGAAGAGTTCTGTAATTTTAAACCAGTTTTGAATAGCAAATGTTGACAATTTGGCGAAGGACTTTTTTAAATAGTTAATTGTGTGTTGTAATCAGTATAAATTGTGAGAAAATAAATCCGTTAAGTATTTTATCGTGACTTTAAATTAGCGGACCCACGGAATCCCTAACAATATGCAACCAGTAATACAGTATGAGCATTTTATTTTGTCCTGCTTATTTTTTAACTGTTATTGGCTGTTCTAATATTTGAACAAAACAGCTTGAATATTAGAAAATTTTAGAAATTTTCAAGTTGCTCAATGAAATTTTATAAAAGATAAATAAATAACTTACCATTGATGAAGAACTGGATCCGCTCTAACAGCTAATAAGTAACAGCAGTTCAAAATGGTTTTCCTCGATTTCTTCTGCACAAGTTTCATTCCATTTAAAGCTTTTTGATGACCACCATAAATATTAATTGCAGCTAGTACGACTTATTAATTTCTAACAGCAATTATTGTCCTTTCGTATACCTAAATAAAAAATATATTAGGTAATTTTTTGTTATAGCAATTTTTGAAGCTATCAAAAAACAGACAATAACATAAATTATCTTAATATTTGGAACTATGTAAAAATAACAAATAAATAGTACAATTTTTTTTATATTAATTTGAGTAAGTTATAAAGAGTTATATAAAATTAAAAGAAAGACTTTTATTGATAACTTCAGAAATAATATAAAAATTGTAAATTTCCTTGATATGACAGTAATACATTATTATGACTTATTAATGCTCAAAAAATTAAATATCTAATTTACTAGATATATATCGTCCCATTGCTGCCAAAAGCTTGCTTAAAATAATATACGAAAAAAAACACATAAAAACTCGAGTTAAAACCTTCTAATTTCTTTTTTTTTTCAATGAAAATTCTAGCTTCCCAAATAAAAAAAAGTTAAAACTACCTGTTAAAATTTGGGACAAAATAAAATGCCAACCCTGTACAAACTGCAGAGTACGAATATTCCGCAAAATTTAATTATTTTATAGAATTTTCAAGCTTATCAATGCCATTTCATAAAAATATATACAGGGTATTTCACAAAGGTTTTAAAATGAAATTAAGTCCAAATTAAACTAGTTATAGACTTAGGAAAATATATACAGTAAAAAAAAATTTAATGAACCAGTTGTATGAAAATCCCTGTATATAAAATGATCAAAATAACTTACCATTATTAAAAGGCAATGGATGTCGAGCCCAACCCTGGTTCTATTAACTTTACATCCTGAAACGACTGACATTTTTCTGTATCCAATCAAAAATTTTCCTTCAAAGCTGCAACTTGTTCGTTGAGTTGTGACAGCAGCTGTCAAAATGTCCATTACCATCAATTTGTTCAGCTCACTAAAAGTACAAAAAAAAATTAAAGGATAAAAAAAATTAAATAATAAAAAAAAATATGACGTCAGTTTGTTCATACTAGTTCATACTAAATTTATCATAATTTTCAACCTTGTCAAAGAAATTTAATAAAAAAAAAAGAGATAAATAACTTACCATTGATGAAGGACTGCGACCACAGTAACAGCTATTATGTATACAGTCTAAAATAGTTTTCCTTTATTTTTCCTGCAAGTTTCATTCCATTTAAAGCTTTTTGATGTCCACCATAATATATTATCTGCAACTAGTACTACTTGTTAATTTCTAACAGCAATTGTACAATTGAAGAAAAATAATGCACAAGTTTCATTCCATTTAAAGCTTTTTTCTGTCAACCATAATTTTTGCAGATAGTATGGCTTGTGGATTTTTAACAGCAATTGTCCCATCGTATACCTAAAATTCCAAAAAAAATTAGGTAAATTTTTACTATACCAATTTTTGTAGATTTCTGAAAACAAGATTAATAAAACACAAAAATAAAAAAGATTAAACAAAATTATATTTACAAAAATATATATTTATGGCGTTTGTTCTAGTGGGAACTTTAACATATCTTCAAGGTGTGTATGAAGAGTTCTGTAATTTTAAACCAGTTTTGAATAGCAAATGTTGACAATTTGGCGAAGGACTTTTTAAATAGTTAATTGTGTTGTAATCAGTATAAATTGTGAGAAATAAATCCGTTAAGTATTTCATCGTGACTTTAAATTAGCGGAACCACGAAATCTGTAACAATATGCAACCAGTAATACAGTATGAGCATTTTATTTTGTCCTGCTTATTTTTAACTGTTATTGGCTGTTCTAATATTTGAACAAAACAGCTTGAATATTAGAAAATTTTAGAAATTTCGTTGCTCAATGAAATTTTATGTGAAATAAATAATTCGTCTACTTGATGAAGAACTGGATCCGCTCTAACAGCTAATAAGTAACAGCAGTTCAAAATGGTTTTCCTCGATTTCTTCTGCACAAGTTTCATTCCATTTAAAGCTTTTTTCTGTCAACTATAAATTTTGCAGATAGTATAGCTTGTGGATTTTTAACAGCAATTGTCCCATCTTATACCTAAAATTCCAAAAAAAATTAGGTAAATTTTTACTATACCAATTTTTGAAGATCAAGATTAATAAAAACAAAATAAAAGATTTTTTTTTTTTTAAATTATATTTACAAAAATATATATTTATGTTTATTTAGTGGAACCTTGTGGGAACTTAAATATCTTCATGTGACGAGTTCTGTAATTTTAAACCAGTTTTGAATAGCAAATGTTGACAATTTGGCGTAGATTTTTAAAGAAGCACTATTCATAATCAGAATTGTGAGAACTGTTAGTTATTTTATCGTGACTTTAAATTAGCTGACCCATGTAATCTGTAACTATATGCAACCAGGTCACAGTATCAGTACGTAACTGAACGAAGGCTACGAG